AACGTGAAAAATTGATTGGATTTTAAAACATAATCAACGTAAGGGAATTTCGTATTTTTTTCACTCAACTTTTAACCTAAATCCAATGAAAAGGTGACATTTTTTGTTGATTTCACGTTGAATTCATGTAAATCAAAACTAGACATTGAACTGAAGTCTGTGTCCAGTGGGTACAATTTCTCCAATCTCAGAGTAAGATCAATGTTCAGCTATGATTCAGCTCTGCATCCTCTTATTGTAGCTCAGGCCAGTATGAGGAGTGGAGGCCTTACTCATAATATCTGTATACACTGAGTGTACAAAACATTAAGAACACCATCCTAATATTGAGTTACACCCTATATTCGTTGGGGAATGGACTCTACATGGTGTCGAAAGCGTTCTACAGGGATGCTGGCCCATGTTGACTCCAACGCTTCCCACAGTTGTGTCAAGTTGGCTGGATGTCCTTTGGGTGGTGGACCATTCTTGATACACACGGGAAACTGTTGAGCATGAAAAACCCAACAGTGTTACAGTTCTTGACACACTCAAACTGGTGTGCCTGGCACCAACTACCATACCCTGTTCAAAGGCACTTAAATCCTTTGTCTTGCCCATTAACCCTCTGAATGGCACACACACAATTCATGTCTCAATTGTCTCAAGGCTTAAAAATTATTCTTTAACCTGTCTCCTCCCCTTCATCTACACTGATTGAAGTGGGTTTAACAGGTGACATCAATAAGGGCTCAGCGCTTTCAGCTGGATTCACCTGGTCAGTCTGTCATGGAAAGAGCAGTTGTTCTTAATGTTTTGTACACTCAGTGTATATTACATCTTTTCAAGCCCTCATACTCCCTCCCTTCATTAGTCCAAGTATGACATTGTGTGGTTTCTGTTATTCATCAAACTGGATACTGGACACTGGATAACTGTCTCTAAGCACAAAGAGGAGAGTGTCTCTCACTGGACACCTGCTGGGCTATGGTCTGCGTCAAGTTACAAGGTCAGTCAGTCAGCAAGTGCAAGCCCAGATCCCTCCCCAAGACAATCAACTAAACCTAACCTCAACCCTAACTCTAACCCTAGCTTCATGTTCACACTCTGTCTCAAAACGAACCATAGTCTCAACCCTAACCCTGAAGCTTACCGTATGCTTCCCAGTCAAAACAGTTTGTGCATATATTATGACAGAGCCGAAGTCTATTCCCCTTAGTCTGTGATTGGTCAACAGTACTACTCCTAGTAGGAGTAGGAACATGAAGTGTTTGTTCTCATTCAACGAGAGATGACTAGGTTCACTTGAGAAATACTGCACCAAACATCTTAGTTAAATGTAAAACTACGCAACTAAGATCTCCTCACCAAAAACATCCAAATGAATGACAGATTCCTTGAGTTATTTTAGATTAATTCTGACTATTTCGAGGAAGTGTTTCTGGCTATGTTGTTGCTACGGTGGCTCAGGAGGGACAAACAATAGCAATATTACCGCTTTTTTCTCGTTTTTCAAGCAAAGGTCTTCAGGGAGTATGAGAACACAGACGGTCGTTTCGTCTAGCTGAGTTCTGCTAGGAGCAAACCGAACCTACATTATGTATGCGGATGCCTTAACCTTAGCTTCATGTCCACACCCTGGCTCAATCCTAACCCTCAACCCTAACCCTAACTTCATTTAGGACAGGGCTGCCCAACCCTCTTCCTGGAGATCTACTGTCCTGTAGGTTTTCAGTCCAATCCTAATTTAGCATATCTGATTCAGCTAGTTAAGGTCTTGTTGAGCAGCTAATGAGTAGAATCAGGTGTGTTAAATTAGGGTTGGACTGAAAACCCACAGGACGGTAGATCTCCAGGAAGAGGGTTGGGCAGCCCTGATTTAGGAGGACTCAGACCATATTTACCCCTGGATTTCAGCCATCCATCCTCCCCTTTCCCATTGGTGTTGAACTGTAGCCCAGTCTCTGTGTCATTTGTTAGGCCAAGTAGAGCAACTAGCCTCATAAACAGCTAGCCTAATCTCCCAGCACAGAAGGGTAGAGGTGTTATGAGACTATGGTGTCAGAGGAAGGGTGATCATCTGGATGTGCCTGAGCAGGCAGCAGGTCGGTACAGATTAAAACAGTCTGGCACACTGTGCCAACCTCACCCACTAACCTCACTAAGCTGAGACTGCCAGTACAGCTCAAGAACCAATTCCATTTGCAAACACACTGACGCACATGCATGCACGCACACACACACGCACACGCAGCTAACCTTGTGGGGACACACAATTCAGTCCCATTCAAAATCTTATTTTCCCTAACCTTAACCCAAAAACCTAACCTTAACCCTAACCCTAAACCTAACCCTAGGTCCTAACCCTAACCCTAACCCTAACCCTAAAACTAACCCTAGCTCCTAACCCTAACCCTAATTCTAACCTTAACCCTAAACGCCCTAGAAATAGCATTTTACCTTGTGGGGACCAACAAAATGTCCCCAGTTGGTCAAATTTTTGTTTGTTTACTATTCTTGTAGGGATTTCTGGTCCCCACAAGAATAGTTAAACAAGTCCACACACACACACACACACACACACACACACACACACACACACACACACACAGGTTATCAAAGTATTTAGGAATATAATGATATTCGTCAACAACTTTGTAAGTCTTATATCTGAGTGTAATCCAAAACATTGAACATTAACAAACAAGAAGGACATGACGTCACATGAAAAACACGGGATATAGAGGTGAGAACCTGATATGTCCTCCCAAACAACCATTGCACATCACCACAGTATAATTTCCTCCTCAACTCTCCTTTAAAGTGCCTAGAAGCTGCAGCTCTGAGAAGTTTGAGTGCACCTTGAGATAATTACCTTCCTGACAACAACAGTGAGACCCCACTCTCTCCTCTTTCCTTTTACAGCCAACTAGTGAGATTAGGAAGACAAGTGCTTTAGATTGGTCCTAAAAAAATCACGTCATCATAAAAAAATAAAAAAGATCAGTGCATACGTTGTAGGCCCAATATCCAGGGAGCCCAACAAGTGGGGATTTTCTCATTGTGATTGTCTTTGAAAGACGCCGCTGTTGGCTGGAAATAGAGATTTTCCCATCCATTTATAAAGTAATTAGCTTTTAAAAAAAGTAATGTTGACGTGGGCAAAGGATATTCTTAGTTGTCTACAATATCATCTTAATCTAAACATTATGACAAGTAATGAAAGGTTATACTAATAACTGATAAGGAATGGGTGGCATGACATTATTTAGCTCTCTCATCATAATCTTATTGGCTTGCTGTAAACTACTCAAGCAAGATTATTTTTGGGATTGCTGTCCATTTCAGTCACTACATGAAGAAATGCTGCCATCTAGCAATTAATCTGGCAATCACAATATTTACAGACTAACAGACACTCAAAGCTGCACCTTACAGATGGCCCTAGTAGAAATGTGACAGTAAAATGATAAATTACTCCATTAAAAGACAATCAAATATTCTACATTGGATTAGCTGCATGCAGCACAAAATAAATATCAAATAAATTATCACCTTAGATAACCAGCATAGTGCTACATAAATGGCATCATATATGATCATATTACTTTATTTGACTATAATTCTGTTCATTTGTCTGGTGACATCAAGAGTAGTCTTTCTGTAACCTATTCATCCTACCCCATTCCGCCCAGTACATACAGTATAAACAGGGTTACTCTACTCCAGGAAGCCCAGCAAACAGTCTGCTTTCATTCTCATTAATTAGCAGGTGAGCTAAACCTCTGAGCCATGAAATCAGCCTTACAGCAATCCACCCAAATCTCCCTCTCTCTTTCTCTCTGGGTTTGTTACAGTGAAAGCCCACATGCCCTTGGAACTCTACACACATGCCTATCACACCAGTAAGCCAAAAGCCATGCTACATCCCTTTCTGCCACCTTCTCCAAAACCCAAGGGCCCCACGTGTCAACTCAATATGAGCTACTGTATATGGGCTACATTTGCTACATGCAAATACCCTGGACCAAATCCACGACATAGGAACGTGAGCATATTCTAGCACGAGGCTGGCACATGAGAGTAATCCAGAGAAGATGACGTGGGCACTGACTATAGCATGCCAAAATGACATCACCGATGTGAGAAAAAACCTTGGTGATCTTGGTCACACTTTGAGCTTGAACTTATAAAGCTTAATGAAGGCTTCAAAACTCTTTAAGCCTACACAGATGTTTCACTAATCATGTTTTAGTATATCATATAATGGTGATTTAAGGAGCCCTTACATACAGTATGGTGCTTTAAAGTGTGAACTGTGAACTTGATGGATTTTTTTATGGATGCATTTAATAACAGTACAATGAAAGGGAGAATATTTTCAAAACTGGCCTCCAATTGAGTTTAGAAAAAACCCTGAACAGAATGAAGACTGAAGAGAATCAATCAATCAATCAATACCATACTGTATATCACAGAGTTCAATGGTTTTCTTTAACCCAGACACTGCTATGCATAAACATGCTAGCCAACAGGTTTGGTGAATTCTACACCTCATGTACCCAGACAGTGATACCCTCTTTGGAACAACCACTTTGACTGATCAGGGGATGGGCCAATAAGAGAGAGAGAGTGCATGAAAGAGGGGGATAGGGAAAGAGAGAGATAGCAAGAGAAGGAGATAAGGGAGGGTAAGAGCAGAGGAGGTGTAGAGACAAAAGGGACAGGAAGTACTGGTGAGGAGCAAGACTAGTCTGTTGACAGAGAGACACAGGCAGATAGAAAGCACAGAGCAAGATAACTTACTTCAGATGTGTTTCTAGTGTTTGATTCAAAGACTATTAATATCATTAAACCACTCAGGAACAAAACAAAAACGTCAAGAGGAAACCAACATCTAACCAAGAAAAGATCTACAGTATTTTCTACAACAGAAGACTGGAAAGAGAGCTGCTCTACTTGTAAAGACAGTACAGAGACTGTTTCATTGTTTTTATCCATCAGCCCAGTATCTGACCATCATGACACATCAGGTCAGCCGCTCTCCGTTCCTCAAGCCCTTCTACAGGAGGACCCCGGTTGGTGGGGTCATCCCGCGACCCCAGAGACGCCACACACTCCCCGCCAGCGAGTTCAGGAACCTGACCCCACAGGATGCCATCAGCGTGTTTGAGATCGAGAGAGAAGGTACAGTGAGGGAAAAAAGTATTTGATCCCCTGCTGATTTTGTACGTTTGCCCACTGACAAAGAAATTATCAGTCTATAATTTTAATGGTAGGTTTATTTGAACAGTGAGAGACAGAATAACAACAAAAAAATCCAGAAAAACGCATGTCAAAAATGTTATAAATTGATTTGCATTTTAATGAGGGAAATAAGTATTTGACCCCTCTGCAAAACATGACTTAGTACTTGGTGGCAAAACCCTTGTTGGCAATCACAGAGGTCAGATGTTTCTTGTAGTTGGCCACCAGGTTTGCACACATCTCAGGAGGGATTTTGTCCCACTCCTCTTTGCAGATCTTCTCCAAGTCATTAAGGTTTCGAGGCTGATGTTTGTCAAGCGAACCTTCAGCTCCCTCCACAGATTTTCTATGTGATTAAGGTTTGGAGACTGGCTAGGCCACTCCAGGACCTTAATGTGCTTCTTCTTGAGCCACTCCTTTGTTGCCTTGGCCGTGTGTTTTGGGTCATTGTGATGCTGGAATACCCATCCACGACGCATTTTCAATGCCCTGGCTGAGGGAAGGAGGTTCTCACCCAAGATTTGACGGTACATTGCCCCGTCCATAGTCCCTTTGATGCGGTGAAGTTATCCTGTCCCCTTAGCAGAAAAACACCCCCAAAGCATAATGTTTCCACCTCCATGTTTTACGGTGGGGATGGTGTTCTTGGGGTCATAGGCAGCATTCCTCCTCCTCCAAACACGGCGAGTTGAGTTGATGCCAAAGAGCTCAATTTTGGTCTCATCTGACCACATCACATTCACCCAGTTCTCCTCTGAATCATTCAGATGTTCATTGGCAAACTTCAGACGGCCCTGTATATGTGCTTTCTTGAGCAGGGGGACCTTGCGGGCGCTGCAGGATTTCAGTCCTTCACGGCGTAGTGTGTTACCAATTGTTTTCTTGGTGACTATGGTCCCAGCTGCCTTGAGATCATTGACAAGATCCTCCCGTGTAGTTCTGGGCTGATTCCTCACCGTTATCATGATCATTGCAACTCCACAAGGTGAGATCTTGCATGGAGCCCCAGGCCGAGGGAGATTGACCGTTCTTTTGTGTTTCTTCCATTTGCGAATAATCGCACCAACTGTTGTCACCTCACCAAGCTGCTTGGCGATGGTCTTGTAGCCCATTCCAGCCTTGTGTAGGTCTACAATCTTGTCCCTGACATCCTTGGAGAGCTCTTTGGTCTTGGCCATGGTGGAGAGTTTGGAATCTGATTGATTGATTGCTTCTGTGGACAGGTGTCTTTTATACAGGTAACAAGCTGAGATTTGGAGCACTCCCTTTAAGAGTGTGCTCCTAATCTCAGCTCGTTACCTGTATAAAAGACACCTGGGAGCCAGAAATCTTTCTGATTGAGAGGGGGTCAAATACTTATTTCCCTCATTAAAATGCAAATCAATTTATAACATTTTTTACATGCGTTTTTCTGGATTTTTTTGTTGTTATTCTGTCTCTCACTGTTCAAATAAACCTACCATTAAAATTATAGACTGATCATTTACTTGTCAGTGGGCAAACGTACAAAATCAGCAGGGGATCAAATACTTTTTTCCCTCACTGTAAGAGTATATCCAGATTCTACTGGTTGCTATGAATATTTTGATTGTATTGGATTTGTTGGACTAGAGGGGACTTTTGGGACTTATGTTCAACAGAATGCACATTTATCTTATAATTTCTAACACATAATAACAATAGCTGTCAGTCTCCACCATATAAATAGCTCAGGAAACTAAACAACGCCATAATACCACCAAATGAGTGTTTATCACAGCTTTTTGTCCAGAAAAATTGAATGTGAATAACATCAATTGACTGTGATAAGAGTGCAAGCAGCAGTTGACATGCCTGTAATCCCTTGTTTGTTTGCTAATCTTCCAAGATGCTTCATCTGCTCACTGACTGACTGACTGACTGACTGACTGACTGACTGACTGACTGACTGACTGACTGACTGTGTGTCTTGTTTTTCCTCCCACCAGCATTCGTCTCTGTGTCTGGTGAGTGTCCACTCACTCTTGACGAGGTGCTGAACTTCCTAAGTCAGTGTCCGGAGCTCTCCCTGGGCTGGTTTGAAGAGGGCCAGCTGGTGGCGTTCATCATCGGCTCAGGCTGGGGAAAAGAGAGACTGGAGCAGGTGAGACAGACACCACAATTTACAGTAGCTACCTCCACTGCATCTTTGGAATTGTTTTGCATGCCCAAAGAATCTAAAAAGGTAACCATCAATAAAATACATGTTTTTTACTCTGATCATACCTGGTCATTAACCCTCCCATTGCCTTTCCCTACCCCAGGAGGCCATGACCCAGCATATCCCAGAAACCTCGGCAGTGCACATCCATGTGCTGTCTGTGCACCGCCACGCTCGCCAGCAGGGTAAAGGTTCCATCCTGCTGTGGCGCTACCTGCAGTACCTGCGCTGTGTGCCAGGCCTCCGGAGGGCCCTGCTGGTCTGTGAGGAGTTCCTGGTGCCCTTCTACCAGAAGGCAGGCTTCAAGGAGAAGGGGCCTTCTGCTATCATCGTGCCCAACCTCACCTTCCAGGAGATGGAGTACCATATTGGCGGCGCGGCCTACGCACGGCGGAACAGCGGCTGCTAGTCACTGCCGGCCGTCCCCACCCCGCTCATAATCTGATCAACCCTAGCACTGGAACCCATCCACCATGTCAACATAGACTCTGGTCATCACAGTTGACCATCCAGACCACACTACAGCATCAGACAGACAGATCCAAGCACCAACCTGGTCTCAGAGCATTTCATATTATTCTCCACGTAAATCTGAGACACTCCATTTAGTATGATATGTTATGTTTGGTATGGTTACATAAGACAGATGGTTACTTAAGGAGGGTGATTGGTCAGGATGGGTGGGCGTATAACACGAATGTCTGGCGAGTTCGAATCTCAACTTTTGAACTACTTACTACTTTTGAGCTACTTTGCAACTACTTATCATGTTATCTAACCCTTCCCCTAAGCTTAACCTTAACATTTTAGCAAACCCTTCACGTAACTCTAACCTTAACCCTTTTAGCTAACCTTTCACGTTTAGCTAACCTTTCACGTAACTCTAACCTTAACCCTTTTAGCTAACGTTTCACATTTAGCTAACCTTTCACGTAACTCTAACCTTAACCCTTTTAGCTAACCTTTCACGTAACTCTAACCTTAACCCTTTTAGCTAACCTTCCCCTAACCCTAACCCTAACCTTAACCCTTTACCCTAACTCATAAACTTAACCTTAACCCAAACCCCTAGCTTAGCTAATGTTAGCAAGCTAGCTAACGTTAGCCACCTAGCTAGAATTCGTAACATTTCATATGTTTAGCAAATTCGTAACATATTGTATGTTTTGCAAATTCGTACGAAATGGGTGATGGGCTTCTACCAATTAACACATACCATACCAAACGTAACATATCATACTAAATGGAGTGTCCCGGATTTAAGTGCAGAATAATACGAAATGCTCAGAGACCACGTTGCAACCACAGGTCCTCCATGAGAGAAGGCACTGCTCCATCAGTCTCAGCTGCAGCACCAGCAGGCTCCGAGACACCAACTGTCAGTGCCTCACAGACAGCATCCCTGACCCCCTGCAATACAAAGAGGGGACGGGCACCATCACATGAAGGGGACAAGAATGGGTTTTCGTAGAAAACAGCAACAGAAAGCAAATAAGAAAAGCAAAAAAAATGCTGATAGCGATACAAAACAAAATCAGAATATGTTTGAGATGCAATGTCAATTTTCTGCATACTTTATGTATATGTCATTGAATTATCAAAGTATTAATTTTGCAATCCCAATATTCTTAATTTTTATTATGCTTAATTTTGAGAGTATTTAAAGTAAATGTTCCTTGCCACAAACCACACTTTGTAGTCCTATTCTTGTTTGAGGTCTTTATTATTATTATTAATACTACTATTGTTATTGAGATACTAATACTACTATTGTTATTGAGATACTAATACTACTATTGTTATTGAGATACTAATACTACTATTGTTATTGAGATACTAATGTTACTATTGTTATTGAGATACTAATGCTACTATTGTTATTGAGATACTAATACTACTATTGTTATTGAGATACTAATACTACTATTGTTATTGAGATACTAATACTACTATTGTTATTGAGATACTAATACTACTATTGTTATTGAGATAATAATACTACTATTGTTATTGAGATACTAATACTACTATTGTTATTGAGATACTAATGCTACTATTGTTATTGAGATACTAATACTACTATTGTTATTGAGATACTAATACTACTATTGTTATTGAGATACTAATGCTACTATTGTTATTGAGATACTAATACTACTATTGTTATTGAGATACTAATACTACTATTGTTATTGAGATACTAATACTACTATTGTTATTGAGATACTAATACTACTATTGTTATTGAGATACTAATACTTATATTGTTATTGAGATACTAATACTACTATTGTTATTGAGATACTAATACTACTATTGTTATTGCGATACTAATACTACTATTGTTATTGAGATACTAATACTACTATTGTTATTGAGATACTAATACTTCTATTGTTATTGAGATACTAATGCTACTATTGTTATTGAGATACTAATACTACTATTGTTATTGAGATACTAATACTACTATTGTTATTGAGATACTAATACTACTATTGTTATTGAGATACTAATACTACTATTGTTATTGAGATACTAATACTTCTATTGTTATTGAGATACTAATACTACTATTGTTATTGAGATAATAATACTACTATTGTTATTGCGATACTAATACTACTATTGTTATTGAGATACTAATACTACTATTGTTATTGAGATACTAATACTTCTATTGTTATTGAGATACTAATGCTACTATTGTTATTGAGATACTAATACTACTATTGTTATTGAGATACTAATACTACTATTGTTATTGAGATACTAATACTACTATTGTTATTGAGATACTGTTATTGAGATACTACTATTATTAGAGTTCTCTGAGTGTGATGTAAATACTGTTTTATTTTTGTAAACCCTATGAGTCCTCTGGTGTGTTGAACCAATAAGGCTGTTGCTTATCCTTTTGTATGTGACTGTGTCATCTCTTATTAACACTATGATGTCCTAAGGCAATAAAGAGATACTCCCTTTAACATTGACATACACCATGAAAACAATGGTGCCTTCAACAAAGCTGATTGTTAGTGAACAGTAACTAATGTTCATGTCTGAAAGTAAAGGGCAGTATTGATCACCATAGGTGTCATCTTGGATCCATACACTTAAAACACACTGATGATGAGAGAAAATCAGACAGACTTCACTGATGGATTTCTTCTTTTCTTTTTTACTGTTGTATTCAGTTACATATGAGTAGATAGGTAGCTAAAACACTACCTTGTTTCAATCAATCATTACTTCTTAAGAAGCAATAAACAAATAAAAGGATAGTATTCGAGTGCTCAACGTATTGTAACAAAAATATGGCAGTAGTTGGTACATTTATCAGCAAGGCACCAAAGGTATTAATATCTGATTTGTTTGTCCCTGGTTGTTTTGAGAGGTTGCCTGAATATGAACAAAACCTACTCCTGGATTGTGAGTGTTAAAAACATAAAAATTAAATTTTAAAAAAGAACAAATTTTAAAAATACAGAAATATTTCCTTCTGTCTATTGTACCAGTGATGACTCCTCCAAACCCTGCCTTATACGTGAAGAGAGAGAGAGATGTGGGAGGGGCTTAGATAAGGGATTAGACCATACCCTTCTCTCCTTGGTCAGTGGAGGAGAGAAAATGGTGTGTGTGGGGGGGTGAAAAGAATGTGATTAATGCAAGTCCTCATGACGGTGCAGTGGCATTCCTACTTATTCATACAGACAGACCGAGTAAAAAACACAAGCATATTGTCATCAGAGTTCAGTTCACAGAGCCAGAGGAGAGGGAGTTCCACACAGGGCCCTCCTCCTTAGCCACACTATAGGGCAGAACAGAGACAAGGATTGGTTGATAACACCTGCCAATCGATCCCTCTTGACCTGATGGCCCTCCTCCGGCACTACCTTCCCACTCCTTAGTGGAGGTGGGCGTTGAGGTCGTACTTCTCACAGAACTTGTCTGTGAAGGGGATGCAGGTGAGCAGCTCACACCAGTCACACTTGATGGGGTAGACATAGAAAAGCACCACGAGGCCGGCGAACAGCCCCAAGAACACCACCAGGAAGACGATGATCTGCAACCGCTTGCGGTACATGTCCATGCGTCCGAAGCTGATGTAGGGCAGGAAGGCGAAGGACAAGAAGAAGCCAGAGATGAATCCAAAGATGTGGGCAAAGTTGTCGATCCAGGGCAGCAGGCCGAAGGCGAAGAGGAAGAGCACAACACACAGCAGCTTGATGAAGGCCCGCCATGGCTGGGCCAGGATCTGCCAGCTCTGGAACAGCTCCACAAACAGGCAGGCCAGGATGCCAAACTGGGAGCCCGCCGGACCCACCTGATGGAGGGAGTGGGAGAGAGAGGGACCGGTCAGTCAGAGGAAAAGGTCAACATAGAAATACTCAGCACCTATATTAGACACATTCTATGAGCTGCACAAAACAATGAAAAATCACCCCCAAAGTCTGAATCACACATCTTGTTTGTCTCATCCGACACTATTACCACTGATCTGATCTGTCCAAATTGAACCCTACATTTTGAGGTGTGTGTGTTAATGTGTGTTATAGGGGCTTATGCACAATTGAGAGCATCCTGTCGGGCTGTATCACCGCCTGGTACGGCAACTGCACTGCCCGCAACCGCAGGGCTCTCCAGAGGGTGGTGCGGTCTGCCGAACGCATTACCAGGGGCAAACTACCCGCCCTCCAAGACACATTTCACATTTACATTTTAGTCATTTAGCAGACGCTCTTATCCAGAGCGACTTACAGTTAGTGAGTGCATACATTTTCATACTGGCCCCCCGTGGGAAACGAACCCACAACCCTGGCGTTGCAAGCAACATGCTCTACCAACTGAGCTACAGGGGTCTACACCTACAGCACCCGATGTCACAGGAAGGCCAAAAAGATCATCAAGGACATCAACCACCCGAGCCACTGCCTGTTCACCCCGCTATCATAGAAGGTGAGGTTAGTACAGGTGCATCAAAGCTGGGACCGAGAGAATGAAAAACAGCTTCTATCTCAAGGCCATCAGACTGTTAAATAGCCATCACTAGCACATTAGAGGCTGCTGCTGCCTATTGAAATCACTGGCCACTTTAAGAAATGGAACACTAGTCACTTTAATAATGTTTACATATCTTGCACTACTCATCTCATATGTATATACTGTATTCTATTCTATAACATTCTACTGTATCTTAGTCCATGCCGCTCTGTCATTGCTTGTCCATATATGTATATATTCTTAAATTCCATTCCTTACTAGATTTTTGTGTATAGGGTATATGTTGTGAAATTGTTAGATATTACTTGTTAGATATTACTGCACTGTCGGAGCTAGAAGCACAAGCATTTCGCTACACCCGCAATAACATCTGCTAAACACGTGTATGTGACAAATAATATTTGA